TGGCTATTGAGAGTGGAGAATCAGTCTGTTCCAAGGATGAGCCAGGGAGAGGTTGGTTATCCCCCCCAAATGGTCAGGCCTAAACACATACATGTAAGCAACACTAAATGTGCTCAGCAGATTGTGTATGCATGTATATGTACATATGCAACAGTAATTAAAGAAGAGGCCATGAATTTGAGAGGAAGAGATCTGGACACAGGAGAAGCCTGCAGGAAAAGGAGGGATGGAAATGATGTGAATACACTACTTCTGTATGAAATTCTTTTTCAAGTTAAAAAAAAATACCTATAGAAAAAAATAAAATTGGAGACGTGAAGAGAAACAGGCTTGTGCTGAGTTGAGTCAATGTTACTCAAAGGTGTTGAGTGTTTCAGGACTCGGCAGGAATTGGGGCATAGGCACTGAATTCAGGCTGGAGAAAATCCTGAGGTTGGAACTAGAGGGAAGAGATCAAGGGAGGGAGGAAGCCCAGTGGGCAGTGAGAAGTGAGGTCAACTGTGGCTTGAAGCAGGACTATAGTTGCCTGTAGCTAAGGGGCGAAGGTCTGTGTGTAAGAGGAAACCACTAAATTAGCTCTCAGAACTCAGTGTGATTATTTCAGTAGTTTGGGCCTTATTAGGATATTTGAAAAGGAAAAAAATAGTGTGATATTTTACAGATGTCCTGTGTCTACAGATGAACACAGATCTAATTTACCTTTATGTTTCTATTAAACAATAGCATTTTTACTTGTGGAATTGAAATGAAAACTGCATTACTAAGAGAAAATCACTAGAGATGTGTTTAGATTGGTAGATACTAGTTATCCAGTTAGAGCAAGGATTGGGAAATATCTCTTGTTTGAGACAGGGCTCACTGTGTTACCTAGGTGGGTAACTCATGGCGCTCTTACCCTGCTTTCCTGAGTGCTGGGATTACAGGTGTGAGCCCCCATACCCGGCTTGACAAATTATTTATGTGAAGATGTGGGTTTTGCCTTCACGAACCAAGTGTCACATGCATGACTATAGCTAGCATGGGTGGTGTATAAAGGAGCAAGCCTGAATTCCAATATGGCTTCATTTATGTTTACTTCCACATTTCATGTACTTTTCATTGCTAGGGAGGCTTTAGATTTGGGAGGAACAGAGGGAAAAGAGAAAAAAAAAAAAAAACTTAAATCACTGTTAGACCCAGAACTGGTGGGACCATAGATTAGATTTACTTAGTCCACAAACTGGTTTGTCAGATTTAAGAATCCATAGCCAGGAAGATTGCACAAATCTCCGATGTATCCCATACTTGGGAGGTGGAGCTTGGAGCTTGGAGGTTGGAAGAGTGCCTTTTGTTTGAGGCTAGTCTGCTTTCCGTAATAAACCCCGGACTAGCCAAGGCCGCACAGTGAGACCCTGCATCTGCAGAGGACCGAACCACAAATGGCCAGGGGTGTGGAGTTCTCAGCTGTCAGGAATTCTGCTGCGGTCACAGGGGAGGTTTGCGTTGTTGTAGTAAAGGGCATGTCCTGCCCTTTGAAAACCTTTTAGCATTGACTTAAACCAACATGCCTTCAGAGTCACCTGAAGGACATTGACCTTTGCTGACTGATGGACCTCATCTTCCTGCCTGGATTCTGTTTACAGCGTGATCCATTCTATTACTCAGGCTTTCCACTGAGGTTTTTATTTGGCTTATTGAATTTTTTATTACCAGCATCAATTCAGTTAGGTTTTCTTCAGTAATTTTCTTTATGTCTCCTATTTTCATATCTTGGATTGACATCCTTATTTCTCTCTCTCTCTCTCTCTCTCTCTCTCTCTCTCTCGGTGTATATTCGTGTCTTGAGTGAGTGTTGTTAGAGTCATTCTTTTTAATTCTTGGTGTGGTAGTTCTTCCAGGTCACTCTTGTTAGGTGTCATTATTATGGGATTAGGGACCTTATTGGGGAGGCCGGCTGTCTTGGATGTCCATATTTGTTCCTATACTGCACATCTGGAGTAGTTTGTTGGCTCTTTTCCCTCTTGCTTCTTTGAGGGGAGGTAGTTTACAGTGTCAGGAGAGGACTGAGACTTAGGAGGGTTGAAAGGCCCTCCCCCACCTCCCACCCTCTGCCCTTGAGGCTGGTGTAGGAAGTCCTGGAGTGACTTAGGCAGCCTCCTAGGAGGTGAAATATGGTCCCCTCCAGGGGCAAAATTCCTGGGAGCTGCAGGTGGGCTTGGTCGAGGAGGCCATGACTGGCACCTGGTGCATGGTTCCCAGGCAGTGTGGATGGGGTGGATGGGCCTGTGGAGGGGGTGCCATGTCCCTCCTTGCTGCAGGAGGCTGCGTGGGCCCTGCTCCTCCTCGTGCGGGAAGGCTTTTCATGCTCTCCCTTCTGGTTGCAATTACCGTTCCTTTCCCAGTGCACTGTGTTGTCCAGTAATCAACAGGCCTGTCACTGGTCAGTACCATCCTGTCTTAATTGAACAGGTCTTCATCCCTCGTGTAGTTTACCTGAAGTTTCTCCATGTTATTCCGATGAGAAGTTCCTCTGTAGGACCCCACGTTTTTGTATAAATCTCAGGATTTGTTTGTTTTATGATGAGAACGTTTTCAATGGGAAATATTTACAATATTAGAGACCCCTAATAACAGTGACATCATCTCAATTTATTGGCATGATCTTCCATCGTGTGGTTAGGTAAAGTTGTTTAAATTGTTACAGTAAGAACATATACTTGTTAGGTTTATTAATAGTCTTAGCTCACAATCTTTTAATGGTTGTCACTGAAAATATTCGGGGCTAGGGTGGAGAAATGAAACTAATTTTTGTCTGCTGGCCTTAAGAGCGTTGCTGAACCCCCACAGTTTCTAATAACTTGCTGATTCTTTGGGGCATTCTAAGTTTTCTGCAGTGATGACAGTTCTAATCCTTCCAGCATTTGGCGGCATCTCATTTCTCTTGGGATCAATGTTTCTAACATGATACCACTCTGTGCCCTAGGTTTGGGGACATGACCTTTACCGGATTAATGGAAATTCATTTTATAAGGCTTATTCATATTTTGCTAAGAGGTTCATTTACAAAATACAAAAGAGGGTTTCAAACTTACTCCATGTAATTCATGTACATAGTGAGATAACTGTTCAAGAATTTTTGGTTAATCTTCTGAACTAAATGGACAGATATATATATCGTTAAAGAAAATTTATGTGTTTGAAATAACGCGATATAACGTATGTCCTAGCTATGGCCGGTGCTCCACAAGTCCTGAGCCACCTGTGACTACCCTGCCTATCTGGTCAGTATGTACCACCCTCTTCCCTGCAGAGGATGCATTCTTCAAAGAAGCGTAATCTAACAGCGCCACCTGCTGGCAATCTTGGGAATCTCTTCTCTCGCGCCCTGGGCTTCCTTTATCAGCGCTTGTCTTGTGCTTTTTTCTCTTCACTCCCCGTCCTTCTCTGTCTAAACGTTAACACACACGTGAGGCCGCTCTTTTCCCTCCTTTGCTTTCCTTCCCTCTTGTCTCTTCATCAGTCTAAGCCTCCTTCAACAGTGATTAAAGATGGAAACCGCAGAACTGTCAACCAAAGCAAACAGCACAGCCAGACATACATTTGAAAGGGCATTCCGGACCAGAGTGCCCGCTCTGCCCAGTTAGCCATTAGCATCCTCCAAATGCTTGAAGTCCCCTCAAGATGTCCTCAAGTCTCAATTTTTTTTAATCATTTTCTAACGAATTCTGCCCAGTTTAACAAGCTCAAGAATTAATGAAAAATTGATAAACTGTTAGTAACTCTCATTATTTCTTTTTATTTTGGTAGATTTGACAAATTTGGAGTATTTTATATTTTACTGTAAGGGTTCAGTTTTTCATTATGGGTTCAACAACCTGGCTGCAGAACCACCATCCACTGCAGTTTATAGGGAGACAGCCCCCAACAGGTGCCTCTTGGTACTGCAGTTTATAGGGAGACAGCCCCCCCACAGGTGCCTCTTGGTACTGCAGTTTATAGGGAGACCACCACCTCCCCCCACCTGCACAGGTGCCTCTTGATACACAGCTCACTTAAGAGACAGTCTTCAGTTTCTAATTGCTTCGCTGACTGGTGCAGCAGATACTGTGAGCTCCACTTTGGAGCTGTCTGATGAGTAGGTGTGGCCAGTGCGAGTTGCTGCTTTGGTGGGTTAACCTTCACCTTGCTTTTGGTCTGTATCTAAGTATGGCAGTTGACTATAATAAGGAAGACACTGTGGCCCCAACTGATCTCTGTAGCCAAGGACAGTGCAGCTATGAGGATGTTGTGCTGTTTCCTTTCACATGCCCCAGCCTGCTAGGAGACAATACATTGAGAATTCTTGCTCATTCAGAGATAGCAACTCTCGACTTGAAGTGGGCACCACAAAACCTTTAGGGCCCACTAGGCTGGTTGTTACCCGAAGGACACAGGCAGTTCCTAGATCACAGGAGAGATTGTAAAATAATATAGAAAATCCAGGCTGAGCATGTAGCTTAGTTGTTAGGAGTGCTTGACTAGCTTGCAGGAAGCCCTGGGTTCCAACCCCAGTACCACATGGAACCAGATGGTGGTGTACACCTCTACTCCAAGCACTTAAGAGGCAGAGACAGGAAGATGAGGCGTTCAAGGTCATCCTTAGTTACCCAGTAGGCCAAGGACAGCCACTGATGAAGTTCTGGTGTGTTATTGGCTTTAGAGCCATGATTGTTGTGAAACTAATTAGTCTGGGGAGAGTGCCTCAGCTCTGAGTAAACCCTCTGGCATCTGCCTCAAAGGGATCCCGAGGTATTCTTCTCTCCATGTTCAACCAGTAGAGTTTCAAAGGTGAATTTTAAGGAGAGTTAGAAAGATCAGACTAGCAGTTGAGTTCCCCCGTTGGCCCTCTGACAGTCCAAGCTAAGAAAGATTTTCCTAGCTTCTAAACTGCTGAGCCTGCTGTCTGAGCCCCCCTTCCCCCCTGCTCCTCCTGTGCTCCTCTGCATTCATGTTTTCTAACCTCTTGGTATCTCTTTCAAAAGGTGGGGACCCAAACTGTATGCACTGTTCCAGATGCGCTCCTGCCAGAGCAGCATAAAGCATATGTAACAGGATGAAGCCTCCCTCCTCATGAGGTAAGTCCAGCTGGCAGCAGCTGCTGTGGTGAGCCCGTGCTTCCAGGACACCTGCTCAGATCCTGGCGGACCTCCTCTGCCTGTTCACCTGCTGGCCAGGGCCTTCCACTGTCCCGATGAAGGAGCTGAGCCGAGTGCACTGTGGCACCCCATCCTGCCCCGTCTTGACCTTCTTAAGGGGCCACGTTGTCCAGGCTCTTTACCAGTCAAGGATGCTGGCCTCCACTGCAACCACTTTGCTATCAGCTCAAGTTTGTGAAAATGAGATTTTTATCTGTGACCATGGTCAACTGATTGTAAGTGCTACTTTAGGTAGGCCATTCCCTTGCGCTTGTGAGAGACCCTCTGGATGAGTGAGAGGTGGCTGTTAGATTGTGCCCTCATGTGTGACACTTGCGATTTGCTGGGGTATCAGAGTCACACAGCTGTAAGTAACAGTGAAGGGTTGTACATGCCCGTGGAGTCAGAAGACCAGAGAACTGGTTCATCAGCCTTGTTAATAAAAGATTATGCACCTCCCTCAGTCTGGCTATTTTTAAAGATTCTTTTATCATGATGACAGATTGTTAGAAAATTACTTAATGTCTTTGGCAAAGACTATTGTGACCCCAGTTCTAGATGAAACCACAGCACTGAAGTTTATCTTAGAGACTGTGATGGGTCCAGGGTGAGGTCCCCCAAACTTTGCGAGAGAGCTTCCCAAGCTTTGACCTGCCTAGTTACAGTGATAGATGCAGAGATCCTGGAAGATGCGACACGGATCAATCCTAGCGATGTCTTCTAGACTTCTTTTCGTGTGTAAAACAGACAGTATATGCTCTTACAAGGTGAGGAAGCTTAAAATGACTTCCTTAGCCTTGAATTTTAGGTTCTCTGAAGTGAGGTGCAGGTCACACTAGACTCTTGGACACCTCTGAAACTGTCCCAGTTGGAAAGTGAATTGGAAGGCCACAGTGCACTCATCTGTGTCTTCACACTCATTTGGAAAGGGGTGTGGCCGACTGTAAATTCATAGAATTCAGCTATTATTCCTGGTATTTGAACAAAAATCTCTGCTGGAAACACATTCTAAACATTCACAGATTGCTGCAAACAATATTCTGCATGGCTTTTCATCTTGAAACCTTGTCTTCCAGAGCAGAAATCCGTTTATCCTTTTTTTGTTTGATTAGCAGGAACCCCAGATTAAAATCGGCAGTATGTTCTGTTCACCTCCCTCCTCGGTGCTTTTCACCTGTTAATACCTGTGCTCCTCGGAGAGCCTCCTCTGAGGGAGGCTGACTCCAAGCCATTGTTGTCAGAAGCAGAAAAAGAAAAAGTGTCTGTGTGACTCACCAGAGCAGCCAAGCTCAAATGACAGATTTTGAATTATCCCGAGATGAATTCATGAAGGGAACAAGGGAGCTGGCAGTCACTGCATCTTTGAGCCTGAAATGTCATCTAGCTGTCAGCCTTGGAAGGGCTGAGGCCTCTGCAATCGATTGTCACTGGAAAAGGACTTAGTTGTCCTTTAGGCCTTAGTTCTCTGGGGCTTCTCTCCAGAACTGTCATCCTGCCTACCTGTGAAATTCTGCTGGCAAGAACTTAGAAGTGACATCCAAAGCCACAGACAGGAACTAGCTGGCTGGTTTGCTAAGTGGTGGAGCCCCCTAAAGTCTCAGGACCAGATCATAGCCAAATGACTAATCAGCTGGCACAGTGTGTGGATCATGGGCTTCCTGGTCTCAAAATTCAGGCTTTGGTTTCTCTGCAAGGTTCTGGGCTAATTTTTGCTTAAAAGGCCAGGATCCGATTTGACCTCAGGCTTCTCTGTGTGGGGGCCTGAGGTGTGTGCCAGCCACATGGAGCTAGTGTCAGTAAGGGGAGCTCATGCCTCAGGCTGTTCTCTTCTCAGCCTCTCCTTCTCCATACCAGAAGTGTCTGTGACTGTGATCCGATGGGCAGTGTTTAGACTGCAGCTTTAGGTTCAGAACACGGTTCTGGGGTCAGAGTGTCCCCAAACCTGCTGTTGTGATTTCTTTTGAAGCCCCAAACAATTGCGGCTGTTCTGAGGTCAGAGAGCGGTCTGCACCTCCTGGCATTTCCTCCACAGCATTCCATCCTCTGCACAGCCCTGGAACATTCCCTGAGTGCTAAACACGAGTTTTCAGGGCCATGCCCTTTGCAACCCATCCTGGTAATCTGTATGTTGAATTTTTTTCTCTGTCTCCTGACTTTCCCATCATCTGGCTGTACAGGTCCCTGGTGTCTGACCCATGATGAACTTTAGACTAAGGATGTACTGAGACAGCCCTGTGTCTTGAATGCATACACCCCAAAACTCTGGTGTCTCCAGGACAACTGGATGGACTAGTGCTCATCAACCAGGGCACTTGCTGATTCCTGCACCCCTCACCCCCACCCTCATTTGCTCTTGGCTTTCTTCTACCTGTTATTCTTCCCTAGACCTCTTCACTGTCTTTCCTAGGAACAGACCTCAGGAGCTGGACCAGGACTTGGGATGTCTGCAGACCCTGCAGTCCTCAGCCAGCCAGCATCTGCTGAGCTCGACTTTTAGATGCCATTTTCTCAAACAGATGCTGGAAATCCCCCAGCACACACACCCCACCCCCGCTTTTTTTTCCCCCCTGCATGACTAGCTCATAAGATGGAATCTAAGGGGAGAATTATCAAGACTTTTTCACTTTTTAAAAAAATATCTGCAACTTATCTTTGGCTTTTATCTGAGAGCAAACTTGGTGGTGTGCATCTCCTCCAGTGTGTACTCCTGTGGAATCTGCAGACGCTGCTGTGACATCCCCTTCCTGTCTGGGCTGTTTGTACAATTGTATATAAATGTAGCAATAAATATATTCTAACATCATCTGGAGCCTGGATTCTCGCTTCGTTTTGCACCTGGGTGGCAGGCAGTGGCAGGCACACTTTCACCAGCAGGCCCTGCTGACCGCCTGCCGGACGGACCTGATCCAGCCGGGTTTCTCATCGTCTCGGGTTTCACCCAGTGAGCGTTACTAAGAAGCAAGGCAGCGTTTGGAGAAAGGATGGGGAGAGTTTGGTAGCAGAGCTGGGACATGACGCGGCATTAGTAATTCATGCAGTGGCACCGGTCCTGGCTGACGGAGGTTTGAATGTGCAAAGACTAAAGCATTGGGTGACAGTTTGCAATGTGACTCAGCCATCTGACATTAGGCCGACTGTTCAGATAGCTGAGTCACATTGCAGACTGTCACCCTCGGAATATGTTGTGCTACAACGATGTGGTGAATGTGCCAGGTACCTGCCAGGCACAAAGGTAGACTTTAAGAATTTTCATAAAAAACATACAAAATATGCCACGGTAGAATTTTTTTCATTGGTTGGTGGTTTTTCAGAGGTACCAAGGCAATACAGAGGGCACATAAACAGTCAGTCCTTTATCTGTCAAGCACAACATCGTTTATCTACTACCAAGGAATGTTTATTAACACTGTCCTCTCATGCACTTAAGGCCTTTTGTTATCAGCCTTTTTTATAACTTAAAAGATAATCATATGCTTTGCTGTGGTATCTTATCAAATTGCTTTGCTGATGTTTCTCAGTAGGCCTCTCCTTGGTCATAAAGAGAAATTGACACACAACCGTTCAGTCAAAAGAAAAAAAAAAAAAAAGACAAGGATATGATGGAGCCCCAGGTTGGAACATACTGTGGCCTGGGAGGGTTTGGAGCACTTGAAAGGCGGCTACTCTTTGTGTATTTTTAAAAAGGGAAGGGGGTGGGCTGGAAGCAACTAGGAATCACCAGGCTGTGAGTTCTGAACATCAGCAGTGAAACAGGACTGTGTATCACAGCTGTTCTTAATTCCTCCGCTTAGCAGACCCTCCAGAGACTCCAAAGAGAGCCTGCTCTCCACAGCCAATACTGCTTTTCTGAACAGATCCTTTCTGGCTGGGACCAGAGATTTGCACAGGCAGAAGCCTTTGGAAAAAGGATGGCTGAGATGGAATAAGGGACAATCCTGTGGAGAGGCCTAGGATTTCCTCAGGGGATGGTAACCACAGCCTGCAGTGTGTGCTCTGCTAGAAATTAGTGTGAATTAGTGGCCGGACCTGGGACCAGCTGTGCCAGCAAGGGGCCTCTTACCCCTCTGCTGTAAAATGGGGTGACTGCATGGAAGGGGAAAGAGTCCTGTACCTCCATTTCTACATTTACTTTCTGTTTGTAATGTGTCTTCTTGGAAAAGGGAAAGGAAAAAGTAGGGAAGTCACCTCCTTTTAATATTTACAGAAGGCGGCTGGTTGGCACAGATGGGCAACGGAGACAGGAGGATTAAGAGTGTTTATGTTCAGATGCTAAAGCAAGTCAGAGCTTATCGAGGCCAGCCCCTGTGCGGAGACGGAGCACATCACGCTCTCACTGTCCATGCCCCGGTGGCTGGTTTCTGACTCTTCTGCACATCATTGGACAAATGAGCTGGAAGCTGATGGCTCAGCACCCCAAAGCCTACAGTGTCGCCAGCAGAGGGGGAGAAGATGATGCTTCTAATTCCCACCAACCCCACATGCAACCAAAGGAGCACCTGGGTAGGGAGGCTTCCTTCTCCCCAGAGAACCCACATGGGAAGAGCACTTAGCACCCCCACCTAGGATGCGCTCTGCCTTTCTTCCTTTCTTCCTTCCTTTCTTCCTTCCTTCCTTCCTTCCTTCCTTCCTTCCTTCCTTCCTTCCTTCCTTCCTTCCTTCCTTTCTTTCTTTCTTTCTTTCTTTCTTTCTTTCTTTCTTTCTTTCTTTCTGTCTCTCTCTCTCTCTCTTTCCTTCCTTCCTTCCTTCCTCTCTTTTTTTTTTTTTTTTTTTTTTTTTTTTGGTTTTTCCAAGACAGGGTTTCTCTGTGTTGTTTTGGTGCCTGTCCTGAGTCTCGCTCTGTAGATCAGGCTGGCCTCAAACTCACAGAGATCTGCCTGCCTCTGCTTCCCGAGTGCTGAGATCGAAGGCATGCTCCACCACCGCCCAGCGAGCCGTGTATTTCTTTCCAGGAAGATGGAGGCTTTCACTGGACAGTTTGTGGAGGACCCTGCTTCTCAAGTTTTCTTTTGGAGGAGCTGGCTGGCTGCACAGAGTCCACAGTGACTCCCATCTCTTAGCCTCAATGATGACCACAGGGAGGGTGGGCCTGCTTTCTTGAGATTCAGTGGTAGACAGGAAGTCCAGTTGTCCAAGACTAGGTCTGCACATTCCAACAAGGAGCTTCGGTCAGGCTCGAGGTGATCATCCAGCCACCGCCTACTTGATCTTTTGCTCTGTCACTCAGCCCCGTGTTTCTCATCTAATATACATCAGACTCACCTGGAAGGGTGGCTAAGAAGTATGCTAGACCCCTTTCTCAGACTTTCTGATAGAGCAGGCCATAGGCCTAGCCCAGGCCTCTGAATTTATAGCACATTTCTAGGTGAGACCAAGGTTCCTTCAGTAGGGACCACACTTAAGACCCAGAAGCACTTGTCGGAGAGAAGGAGTTGTACTTGTTCTTCTCAGACACCACAAGAACTGAATGTTCTCAAGGCTGATCAGCTGGGTGACATTTGCTAAATGGGCCGGTGAACATTCCTTGGTCAGCATGAGTAACTTACAAATCAATATCCTCTTCTAGCCATGGCCTTGGGGACAAACAAGTGGTTATGGATTACACTCACTTCAGACTGGGTAGAACATCAGATAAGTGGGTGCCAGCTGGACATCGATCCTGAAATGGCACTTTAAGGACAGAATCCCATTTTCCCTCAGTAAAACCACAGGCAGAGTCCTGTGCACAGATAAACAAACCTGTAATCAGGCCGTTGAGCAAGGATGGGAGAAGCGGGCCATATGAGCTTCCCACTGAATCATAAAACTCAAACATTCACAGGTCAGGAATTGGCATGACAAGTCCTCACAATGAACAAGTCCGAGGAATAAGCAGAAGAGGGGACACCCTAATGGGTGCAATTCCCGGAAACGGGTATCAGCCCCAGTAGATTTCACCTACTTGTAATTCATGTAACTGGAGTTAATCTGCATGCACTCTTCAGATTTTACTGAATGATTTTACTCAACAAACCCTCAACAATTCCTTCAAATGCCTTTCCGCCCCTTTGGCTTTAGTGACAACCATACCAAATGTTTCTCCAGACTTGGCCATCATGGCTGCTAGAGACCAAGCCAGAGAGGCCTTTCAGAGTCACAGCCCAACATGGCTTCTCAGCCAAGCCTCTGCAGGTATTCACACCTAGACTTCCTGATTTCCCTGCGTTCCTGCAATCTGGTCCACTCTGGTGGAAATGTCTTCCTTGCCACACACTCCATTTTTGTTATTGCAAGGCTCCCTAAGTTGCCTGCGGTACTCACCCACAGCCTCAGCTGCCCTTCTTCCTGGGCACTTTCCCAGGGCGTTTTGCCCCTCATAAGTTTCCATTGGATTAACACTTTCTGCTCCTGCCTAATGCAATACGCAGAAGTAGCCACAGAGCCTCTTCTAGGTACACACAGGTGAGCACAGGGACTGTGTGGTGAAGGTGTGCTGGCTAGATTTGTCAGCTTGACACAAGCTAGTCATCTAAGGCGAAGGAGCTTCAATCGAGAAAACGCCTCCATAAGATCAGGCTGGAGATGAGTCTATAGGGCATTTTCTTAATTAGTGATTGATGGGGAAGGGCCCAGCCCATTGTGGGTGGTGCCACTCCTTGGCTGGTGGTCCTGGGTTCTATCAGAAAGCAGGCTGAGCATGTCATGATGAACAAGCCAGTCAGCAGCACCCCTCTGTGGCCTCTGCACCAGCTCCTGCCTCCAGGTTCCTGCCCTGTTTGAGTTCCTGTCCTGACTTCCTTCAATGATGGACAGTGATGTGGAAGTAGACATCAAATAAACCCTTTTCCTCCCCAACTTGGTTTTGGTCACAGTGTTTCATCGCATCAATAGTAACCTAAACTAAGGCAGGGTGTTAGTCTGTCTCTTCTGCTAAGCTATAGGTCACGGGTACTTGACAGAAGAAATTTGTTTGACTTAGGAGTCTGATCATCCGAACAGCCTGGCTGTGTGGTCCTGGTGAGGGCTAGGATGTCCATCGTATTGCCAGTGAAAACAGAAAGAGACTTGGCTGAGTGAGGAAGGGCTGAGGGCAGGCTCACTTCATAAGCTTCCTGACAACCCTTCCAAGGATGGTGCCCTTGACTTAATCACTGTCCACGAAGTCCCACCTCTTAAAGGTGCCATTATCTTCATGTTGCCAAGATGGAGACTAAGGTTCTATCACCAGAAACTCAAACCATAACCAAATCGTAGTGTGAGCATCTCCAACTGTCCTGGTATTCAGATTCCTTTGTGAAGGGTCAGGGGATAGCCTAACTGCATTTCTGTGGATGGACACACCTGTGTTCATACACCTCTAGTGTGTGTATTTCCTACACCCGTGGCACTAGGGGATATGTCTGAGACATCCTTGATTGTTAGGATTGGGTGGAACTGACATCCAGGAGGAAAACCAGGAGTTCCACGAAGCATCCTCCAATATGTAAGGGACTTCTGAAGCCTCAAATATCGACTCATCATGGACATCAGGTACCTCCTACCCTCCCCCAGTCTGTGGCCTCTGTACATGGGTTTGTCATGGCATTGGAGAGGTTGAAATGGCAGGGAAAGTAGTCAGGATGGACTGAGACCAGGCTGGACCATAGGCTGTGGCCTACATCCCTGGCTCCTTCAATAGGCCAGTGACTAGCAGGACCAGAGTACAGAAGTTATAGAGAAGAAGGGCTCTGTGTGATTTTCTTAACAGTCTCCTGTCTCAAAACTACAGAAGACAGCACATCAGTGGGGTTCCTCACCCCAGGAGTCCTCCCTCCCTCCCTCCACAGG